TGAAGGGTGTGCCACGAAAATTATTCTCAGCAGTTTGAACATTCCCAGCCTCTGCTTTACATCACACCCACCAACCTCACTAATCTCAGACGACATGGCAGATGGGGATACTGTAAGGATTAGGATGAAACACTACATAAGCAAGGCACTCTGACAGATTGCTGAAGCTCAGACAATGAGACAACCATGGCAAATAACACTAGGTAACAGCTTCAGTTTAGATAACTGTAGTCAATGTAAATTAGAGACAGGGTTATTTGCTATTTATTATATTCATATCTTCAAGCTCGCTGCAACTATTCTCATCCATCATTATAGCTCAAGCACTTTTAGTGATTTAGTGTCAGCTGGGGCTCGGTGATTCTCAACTATGAATCAAAAGATTGTAAATTCAAATTCCCCTCTAAAAACTTGAGTCCATAACCCAGGAACGTCTGAAATTTTCAGTGAGTGCTGCCCTGTCAGAGAAGCAGTACAAACAATAAGAACGTAGTGGCATTGCAGGGCAGCTATTTTGATAATGATACCCAAAGTAAAAAGTGAGCCGAGAAGGAACAGAGTGTACAAACATAGGAAAACAAGAGCAAATAAGGTTAAAGGAGGAAACAAAGGAAGCAAGACAAAAACAGGAAACTATAGGCCAATTAGCAGACATCATAGCTAAACATTTAGAAATACACATTATAATCAAGAAGAGATAGTAAGAACTGCAAGTGCTGGAGTCAGAGATAACACAGTGTGGAGCTGGAGGAACACAGCAGGCAGGCAGCATCAGAGGAGCAAGAAAGTTGACGTTTCGGGTCAGGTCTTAAGAAACGTCAACTTTCCTGCTTCTCTGATGCTGCCAGGCCTGTTGTGTTCCTCTAGCTCCACACTGTGTTATATCTTATAATCAAGCAGAGTCAAGATAGCTCATGAAGGGGAAATCATGCCTGCTACATTTATTAGAATTCTTTGAGAAGGTAACAGGCATGTTAAACAAAGGGGTGCCAATCGGTGTAATATATCTGGAATTCCAAAAGTTCTATAAGGTACAAAACACAAGGCTACTTAATAAGGTGAGTGTCCATGGTGCTGGGGTAGAATATTAGTACAGATGGAGGATTGGCTAATAATAGAAGACAGAGAGTTGAGACAAAGGATGGCAACCTGTAATCAGTAGAGTGCCACAGGGATCCGTGCTGGGGCAACAAATTATTTGCAATGACTTGAAAAAAAGAAGTTAATGCAATATTGTCAAGATTGTGGATGACACAAAAACAAGGAGGGCAAATGGTGAAGATGACACAGAGTCCACAGCTGAATACAGACAGGTTAAATGAATGGTCAAGAGTGAGGGAGTGCCACGCCATACGAGAGGCAGTACAATAGTATGCTGCACTGTTGGAGGGTTGTGAGTGAGGGGGCACTGCTCTGTTATGGGGTAGTACTGAGGGAATGCGACACTGTCAGAGAAGCAGTATTGAAGGAAGTTACATTGTGGGAGAGTCAGCACTGAAGGGCATGGTATTGTCACGGGTGCCTTCTTTCAGATGACAGAAAGAGAAGAAGCCATTGGAATTCTGAAACATGACCGGCGAGTTAACAACAAATAGAAGAGGACAGGAAATGAATTGTTGAGGGAAGCCCCAGAGTAAGGAGGAATAATCAAATTCAGCACAATCAGTGCCATAATAAGGCCACTTGTTTAATCCTTAGGTACATATGCAGACCCACCTTGACAGCTACATCTGGAAGCTTCACAGGGATGTGGGGGCTTCAAGCAATAAGTTATGGAATGTAAAAAGCAGCTTCACACATCAGAAGGAAAAGAAAAACAGAGAGCATATGATGAAAACTCATAAACCTAACATATTAGGTCTTGTTTTTTCTCCTCCAAAGATGCTGTCTGACCTGCTCAATGTCTCCAGCATTTTCTGTTTCTCTTACCAGTACAATTAAGATACCTGTGTAATGGTTATAGGAAGAATCTGTTAATAATTTAACAGAGATTGAGATGGAAATGTTGTCACACTGGACAGCAGTCTGTTAAATTGTGGCCAGTTTTTAAAATACCATTCTTTGCATTCCACAGAGGAACACAGGAGCAGCAAGGTCACTTGCTCCTGTTTAAGGACAGGCAGAAGAAAACACTTTACATTTCTCACCCACTCAACAGTGCCTGGGAACCTTCGTCAGGATACAAATCAGAATCCAACAGCAACTTTAACATTCAGAGCTTTTTATAGTCACACTTCCCACATCACAAAAATACTTTCTCAGATCTGAATGAAAGACTTTTGAGATGTTGTTACACAAAACAAACATATACAAAAGCAGAGTTTGCAAAATTCAGGCCCAGACTACGCAAAAATACAGGGTTTCAAGTACCTTCAAACAGGCATGCAAATATATAAGCTTCATCGAATGCAGTGGTTCAAGAAGACAGCTCATCACCAACTTCTCAAGGGTAACTATGGACAGGCAATAAATGCTGGTCCAGCCAGTGATGTCCATATCTCATAAATAAATAAAAGAAAATGCACACCCATCTGTTTATCAACACACATGAGCTGACACTTTCACACAACAGAATGCAACAGCCTACTTGCGCACAATAATGGGGAAAGTGGCATGCAAGTAGCCAGTGTCAGAGGATTGGGAACAAAAACTGAGGGAGGATGGAGTGGTTGTCAGATTGTGCAGGGGTATTGGCATAGGCAAAAGTAAGATCTGGAGAGGTTTAAACACAGGGATAGAAATTTATATTTAATACAGTCACTTCAGGTGAGCAAGCACAGGAATGATGAATAAGTAGCACTTATTGTAGGCATAGTGGGACAACAACAATTACAGACTACAATATTAAAATCCCCACAGAGATGAATGACTTTTTAAATAGTAAGGAATCCTCATGATGCCAATGGAAAGAAATGTGCTGGACAAGATTTCACTCTTAAAACTTTTACTCTAATGTGCCAAGTGAGATCAACATAATTCAGAAATCTATTTCAACACCAGGATCTATTTGAAAATGGCCAAACATTTCCATTTGGGGAGCAACTGCTTCTTTCCTCTTTGCACCAATTCTCAATGTGTTCTAAACAGCCAAGACAAAAGAAAAAACACTGGCTGATCCAACCCCACTGCAATTAGCCTTCTTTTTACCCTTTGCTCTATGGTTTGTCTGTCCTCATTGCAACCTCAGGACACATGGGTATTATTAGAACTGTCTGATATCATAGTCAGTAACAAATTACCCTCTTCAAAATATTCCCTAGACCACACTGGCCTTGAAGGGACATGGCCGTAAAAAGTATACAAGCTTTGACCTACGTGAGTCATCACAATGAGCTCATGTGAACATAACCAATAGCCTCCAAGTTACAAAGCACATGCATACAAAATCAACAGGCTCAAGATCAATTGTGTGTCATCTCTTTTGATTCTGTTTCATAGAAACTGTCTTTTACATAACACTACACTTCTATCCTTGGGTCGGTTAGATCAGTTGGCTGGATGGCTAGTTTATGATGCAGAGTAATATCAAGAGTGTGGGTTCAATGCATGCACCAACTGAGGTTGCCATGAAGGGCTCTCCTTCTCGACCTTTTTCCTCCCCTGAAGTGTGGTGACTCACCACCAGCAGTCATCTCTCTCTAATGAGACAGCAGTTCTATGGTTCAGAGGGCAATGGTAACTTTACTTTTACCTACTTCCTTCCCATTTAAGTAAATGTTCCCATTAGTTGCTGATACAAGGACCACATGTGTAAGAAGTGCCAACAGTTCAAACAGCTTGAGTGCCAAGTCTTAGAACTTCAATGGACCTGAAGGCACAGGGGTACATCTGCAAGGCTGAGGGCAGTGTGGGTAGCACGTTTGCTGACATTGTGACCCTGTAGACTGAGGGCAGGAAAGGGAATGGGTGACCACCAGTCAGAGGAAAGGGGCATGACAGGCAGACCAGACAGTCCGAAAGGACATCCCACTCAATACCATCTTTCAGTGTAGGTAAAGGATGATAATGAAGGTTCCATTACAGAATGCAGCACTATGGGTGGCTCTGCTGCACAAGGAAACAAGAACAAGAGTCCAAAGGAAATAGTTGGCTCAACAGTGAGAGTTGTAGACAGGCGTTTCTGCGAATGCAGACTTGACTCCAGAATAGTGTGTCGTCTCCCTGGGACCACTGTCAGAAATGTCACTGAGTGGCTGCAGGGCATCCTGAAGATGGAGGGTGATAAGTCAGAGGTCGTGGTACACGTTGATATCACTGACCTTCTAAACCGCCTGCTGCACCTGCATGTTCTCTTTCAGCGACTGGTGTACAAGACACCCAGATCCCATTGCACCTCTCCCTTTCTCAATCTGTCGCCATTCAGATAATAATCTGCCTTCCTGTTTTTACTTCCATTCATCCACATTATGCATTCATCTGCCATACATCTGCCCACTAAATCAGCCTATCCAAATCACACCAAAGTATCTGCATCCTCCTCACCGTTTACCCTCCCACCCAGCTTTGCGTCATTTACAAACTTGGAGATGTTACATTTAGCTCCTTCATCTAAATCATTAATCTTATTGTGAATAGCTGAGGTCTAAGCATTAACTGTTTAACCTTTCCACATGTTCATTCTAGAGAAATCCTGGCTACAAACTGACATTACCAAACAACAGACTGAATGCTTCATATCTACCGGAGCAGGTGCTAGGTTCACACAAATGCGACAATCCTTCCTTAAATTCATACATGTTAATGGCATTGTTGTCCTATGCACAATCAGGGTGGCTGAGAGATGCCAGGTTGAGTTGGTGAATCCACAGACAGTCCACTTTCACACAGTTCATAGCAGTTTAGTTAATGGAATTCCACAAAACCCGATTACCCTTATTACATGCACCACTTTCACTTATAAAAACTAGCTCTGAACCAGACTTGAATGATAAGCACCACATCTGTATCATCCTGATGTTTGCTGCTGTTGCTACCAATCAGCCATGTAGCTCCCAGTTTACCTTCTGATGATGGTGATGACATTTCACTTCTGGACGGATGATGATGGATCTCCATAAATGGATCAGGTATGTTGCAAGATTCAAGGATCCCACACGAAATCACATTCTGTTCCTCACTCGGTGAAGTCCAGCCATTCCTCTGCAAATCAGATCTCAATCTATCATTTTTACGGGAGTTTTTGTTCACACGTGAATCCTTTTTGCGAAAATGAGCAGTCAGAAACTTCCACCAGTTGTTCTCCTCAATGTTTTCTTTCGGTGAGTATGCTGGCTTCACTGTCGGAGCTGAGGAGGTGTTTATAAGAGATGGTAGATGCACCTGATAACTCTGACCTTGCTTAAGCCAGTTGGGCGTCTCTTGGTTTGGTGTCTCTGGGGAAGACAAGTTCCCACTTACAGGTGACTTCAGCCTTTGTCGGAAGGATTCTCCAACACTCAGTGTCCTGCTCCTGCCGCTCTCACACTCCTTCTTGTTCTCTCCTCTCCTAATCCGAAAGCTGAGGCTTCTTTTTAGTGATTTTAGGGATATTTTGGAGTTTGGGGTCTTGAGATCACTTGCTGTGTCTTTTGCACTCACTATCTTCCCAGCTGAGCTAACCCATCGGTGACTAGACCATCGATAGCCAGTTCGCAAAAAGCTTGTGCTGTCAGATCTGGTGGCAGTGGCAGTCTGCTCAGCCACTGCACTGTCTAGTACCTCAGCCCCAGCATGGCAGGGAGTTCTGGTAGCCTCAAGGAAACTCATACTAAGGGGTCGACGTAGTTCCTTCTTCCCAGGCCAGAGAATGCATGCTTGAGGCTGTACAGTTCCTACTGCTGCTTCATTGTGGTGCTGAGAATGCTCTCCCTTACACAATGGATCAGGATCGATCCCTCTCCTCCTCACAGCTGGCACCAGTGACTGGGAATCCAGCTCTGGGAATAATCCAATCTTGTTTTCTGGGACACAGATACTCCTGGGACGTCTTGGTCTGTCATTGACGGAGTTCAGTGGGGAATCAACCATCACACTTGAGAGCTTTCCGGAGAAATCGACAGCGTCACTGGGCTTGGTCTCCTTCCGGAGGCGTCCCGCCCGGACCTCTATCAATCTCTTGAATTTAACCTGCAAGACACCGGTAATATTTACCTGTTCAGGCACGGCAGCAGTTTGAATATCTGCAGCCTGTTCACTGGGCGAGTGACAGCAGCGACACGTCAATGTATCGTGGTCAGTTTTTGCCTGCAATATCCTCTTATGCTCCAATTTGCTGTGCTCCATTGCCAGCTCTCTGTCAGTGCCCTCAGAGTTGCCAGTCATATCAGCTGCCATTCCGTCTGAGTTCAGTTTGGGCTCACAAGGAGCCTGGAGACCAAAGCCATCTGATTCACTCGCTGCAGATTTATTAACTGCTCTGAAACTCTCTGCCACCCGGATCCCCTGACAGAGTGTCAGCCTTACGCTGAGAACTGCTGTTCAGGGAGAACAGTGGCCTGTCAGACTGCACCAACATTTTTAACTCTCAGGAGTCTCATTGGGTGTTGCAGTCTCCCAGCCCAAAGGAAAACATTCCACTCTGCTTGAGTCACTTTAAAAGCTGGAGCTAAACCAGCTTTGAAGAAATAACAATCCACACACGGTGTTAGAGAGAATTTTGACTGAGCAGTAACTCCACACGAGAGCCGCTGGATGGGATCTCCCACATGCTGGCGCAAAGTCAGAATTCCACAGCATAGAAATACCTATCCTCTCAGATCAGCAGCATCCCAACTATTGGGACAAACATTGAACAAAATTGACCTTTCTTCTTTCAGTGCACAGGAGCCCTGGCTGCTAACCTCCTGTTGTGGCTTGCACTCAGAACTGCGACATGTCAGTTGCTCTCTGTGTCAGACCTGGCCAGGATTAGTTGAGAAATATTCTCTCACACCGAGTCTGCATGCCTGTACCTTGTACTAAATCTATCAGCATGGAGACAGGGAAAATGTGGAGTGGATCTCACCAGAGGATTTCTGCAGATATATGTAGCTGGGTCAAGATAAAAGTAAACTGATGCTGACCGGGGCACAGTGACAGGATGAGCAGAATGTGGACTTGTGGGGAATATGTGACTATTCTACTGAAATCACTGCTTCTCCCTTTCCACTTCACATTCAACACCTCCAGCTCACTGTCACTAAGCGCAGTATGATCAGTCAAAGAGAGGGAGCTGCCATTTGCCCAATCTCACGTACCCATGTCATTGATGCTGAAGGGGGAATGATCCTGAATACCCACGTGAAGGGGTCAGAGAGTCAGGGGTGGCAGTTCAGGCCGAGTAGAGCACTGATGTCCCATGTTTCAGCAGGATAAATGACAGGGAGTGCTGCATTGTCAGAGGTGCTATCTTTTGAAAGACAGATTAAACTTATAGGGCTTGGTGGGAACAGAATATTAACTCAAGAGGAAGCGCGAGAAATCCAGTCTTACACAGGTGCCTGCCCAATATTTATCATGTAACCAAATAACAAAAGAAACTGGTTCTCCTTTCATTGTTATATCACTGCTTTTGTGATTTTGCTTTGCATAAATCAGCTGCTGGGATCCCTACAATACAAAAGCAAGTGATTTTCAAATCCTCCTCATTGACTGGGACAGACCTGATCATGATATGCTTAAAATAAAATGCATCTTATTTTTATACTTTCAGTATGATGATGCAAGCAAATTGATCCAATCTGGAACTTTCATTCAGGCTACATTCAAAAATTGTTGGAGAAACTCAGCAGATCCAGCAGCATCTGTGGAAAGAAAATCAGAGATAATATTTCAAATCCGATATCACTCATCTTCTTCTTGAGTTCTGAAGAAGTCATATCAGGCTGAGCTTCTCCAGCACTCTCTGTGTTCGTTTCAGCTTTCCAGCAACTGGAGCATTTTACTTCTATTCAAAGATCAGCCATTTCCACAATCCACAGGCTTTGTATTCCCACCTGTTCCACACTTTCCACATTTCATGTCTGAACACACACAGCTCCTTCAATAAATCAACAAAAAATCCACAGGTTGAGTGAAGTCAACAATATTCCGAAATTTCCAGTCAACTCTCACTCCAGTTTATCCACCCGGTGATCCTATTCCCACTCCATTTTATCCAGCCGGTGATCCCAGTCCCATTCCAGTGTTTCCACCTGTGATCCTATTCCCAATGCAGTTTATCCATCTAATGATCCCATTCCCATTCAAGTATATCCTCCTGTGATCCTATTCCCTTACCAGAATATTGGCCCCATGATCATATTCTCATTTCAACACATTCCCTGTGATCCTATTCACATTCCAGTACATCCACTAGGTGATCCTGTTCCCATTCCAGTATATCCAGCCGTGATTCTATTCCTGCTCCAGAGTCTAAAATGTTTCTTATCCAAAACCCCAGCTAGTGAGTCCTGTCTTCATCTCAGGCAGGTCCTGGAAATCGATGTGATGCTCTTCGGGAGATAGAAATTAACTCTAAATGATGAATGTGAAACATGACAACAAAATCCCGGAGAAGGACATTAGGTGAGTATCTGTCAGATGCTGATCTCTTTGTGTACACGTCCGGCAATGTCCAATTCATAAGGAAGCCCAGTAACATTGAAGGAGAATGAGGAGAAAGCAGCCAGTCGCCAGACACAAGCTGAGAGTATCCTCAAATTGAAATGTGATCAACCTCGATCTTGCTATCATTCATCCCTGAGAAACCCATTTACAGCAGGTGCTATGCACCAACTTGACCCCTTTCAGCTGCACACTCTGATGTCTGTGGCTCCCTCACTGTGACAGCCTAGACAGCCAGCACCCTCTGGTGAGCAGGAACTGAATAGCACCATAGAGTGTATTCACTGTCAGTGATTCCATGACTCGTGAACTGAGTAGATTTAGGGATATACCCAGCTCGCTCAGTATTGGTTAATGAGGAGGGAGATTGAGGTTGCTTCATTTTCAGTTAACTGCTCCAAGTCAAGGCAGCAGTTAGGATGGTCAACCTGTGTTGCACAGGAGTAGTGAATATTATGCAGAGTTTTTCTTTCCAGATCACTGCAGTCACTGATATATGGGGGCTGAAGAAGTTACATTCAGTTTGACTGGTTGAGGCTGTAAGATTTTTGGGACTGAAAATTCATACGTGTTTAGATGAAAACTGTCAGCCACAAATTAACTCCACTATAATGCTCTTTTCAGAAAGAATACTCCAATACATGGTAAGAGAAAGATGCAATGCCCTCCACAATTGAGTCACCTCAGAAAGGAGAGTAAATCAAGGTCTATACCTGCAATAGGAACACTTCCTTTGAGGAAAAGAGGGTCCGAAAGAGTGAACTCTTAAAAAAGCGGAAATTGAACACATAGTCATAGTTTCAGGTCAGTTAACCAATAGCAGAAAATCCCTTTTGACAGCCCTGGAATTTACCATTCCACTTGCCTTCTCAAATCTATGATGTGGAGGTGCTGGTGTTGGTCTTCTAACTGATTAAAGATTTAACAGCATTTTAGGATTGTTTAATACATTCTCATCAGTTGTGAGATCTTTTGACCTTTTACCTACAAATTCTGTGTTCTGTGTGCTTCTTTCTCAGTTCACCTGACGAAGAGGCTACACTCCAAAAGCTTGTGCTTTCAAATAAACCTATTTGACTATAACAAAAACAAATTTGCTGGAAAAGCTCAGCAGGTCTGGCAGCATCTGTGAAGGAAAAGTCAGAATTAACGTTTCGGGTCCAGTGACCCTTCGTCAGAACTGATGGTGGCTGGGAAAACGTCAGTTTATATGGAGAAAATAGGGAGGTGGGTGGGGTAGGGAGTAAACGACAGGATAGAGCCCAAAGAGAGAGAAAGACAGTTGGATAGACAAAGGAGTTGCTAACGGTTTTGTTATGTTCATCTCTGCTCCTGCTCATTTCACCTCAGCTGCTGCAATGCTCAGCCAAGGATTGGTCACCTTCATACTGAACCGGTCTGATCATATCCCAACTGGCCTCCAGCCTTTGAAAACTTCAGCTAATGTTAAACTGTTGTTCACAACCTGTCCTACGCTCATACCATCACTAATTTATTTTTTTGTGTCCAGTATTCACTCATGGGATGTGGGCATTGTTGGTTGGCCAGCATTTATTGCCCATCCATAGTTGCTCGAGAAGGTGGTGGTGAGCTGCCTTCTTGAACCACTGCAGTCCACGTGCTGCAGGTTGGCCCACAATGCTGTTAGCGAGAGAATTCCAGGATTTTAACCCAGGGACACTGATAGAATGGCGATACATTTCCAAGTCAGGATGGTGAGTGGCTTGGAGGGGAACTTGCAGGTGATGGTGCTCCCTTGTATCTGCTGCCCTTGTCCTATGTGGAAGTGGTTGTGGGTTTAGAAGGTGTGTCTAAGGATCTTTGGTGAATCTCTACAGTGCACCTGCATTGTAGATAATAGACACTGCTGCTACTGAGCATCGGTAGCAAAGAGAGCGAATGCTTTCAGATGTAGTGCCAATCAAGTTGGCTGCTTTGTCCTGGATGGTGTTAAGCTTCGTCAGTGTTATTGGAGCTGTACCCATCCAGGCAAGTGGCGAGTATTCCATCACACTCCTGATTTGTACTTTGCAGATGATGAACAGGCTGGGAGGAGTCTGCAGGTGAGTTACTCGCCACAGCATTCCTAGCCCCTGACCTGCTCTTGTAGTGACTGATTCAATGTGGTGAGTCCAGCAGAGGTTTTGGTCAATGGTAACCCCAAGGATGTTGATAGTGGGAAATTCAGGGAGAGTAACACCACTGAATATCAAAGGGCAGTGGTTAGATTGTCTCTTATTGGAGATGGTCATTGCCTGGCATTTGTGTGGTGTGAATATTCTTTGCCACTTGTCAGCCCAAGCCTGAATATTGTACAAATCTTATCGCATTTGAACACGGACTGCTTCAGTATCTGAGGAGTCACGAATGGTGCTGAACATGGTGTAACCATTGGTGAACATCCCCACTTTTAACCTTATGATGGAGGGAAGGTCATTGATGAAGCAGCTGAAGACGATTGGGCTAAAGACACTGCCCTGAGGAACTCCTGCAGAGACGTCCTGGAGCCAAGATGACTGACCAACAACTGCAACCATCTTCCTATATGTCAAGTAAGACTCTAACCGCCAGAGAGATTTTTCCCAATACCCTTTGATTCCAGTTTTGCTAGGGGTCCGTGATGCCACACTCAGTCTAGTGCAGCCTTGGTGTCAAGTGCTGTCACTCTCACCTCAACTCTGGAATTCAGCTGTTTTGTCCATGTTTGAACCAAAGCTGTAATGAGGTCAGGAGGAGAGTGGCCCTGGCGGAACCCAAACTGGGCGTCACTGAGCAGGTTATTGCTGAGCAGGTGTTGCTTGATTGTACTGTTGCTGACACCTTCCATCACTTTACTG